GGGACACTTTAAATGTATTTTTTTGACTGCTAGCCTAACCCTCAATCCTTAGTGTTGAGCCGTGCCATAACCGATAAAGATAAATTAAAGACATTCTATTACTGTGGAAAAAGAAAGCATTTGACGTTACAAAAAGTGTCTTCAGAAATCAATTTATAGGTTGTTTTATTCCCACTTCATTGAACACATATTTCTGTATTTCTGTACATGTATCTTTTTTAAATAGTAAACTAACATTTTAAACTCACAGCCTCAAAAAGCCTAACCAAATCAAGTTGTGTTTGCTCACTCACGTGTGGCCAGTCTTACCTGTTGATGGTGAATGGCTGGCGTGCTGGCTGCTGTTTGGGCATGCAGATAATGCTGGGAGAGCTGCGGTTAGGGCTGCCCAGGCCAGAGCTGCCCATGCTGTTGGTCCTGCCGCTCATACCCATGCCCTGCCCTACCTGCGAGCTCATCATGTTCCTGGTGTTCATGGGAAGGATGCCCCTGCAGAAACATCAGCAAGGCAGGGATTTAGCACAGCAGATCACGTCATCCCACGCAACATAAATCACACGGAGGACATGGCGTACCTGTTCGGCGACGGTGGTGTGTGGAGGGACATTGTTGGGACGCCTGTGGTTGGGGTGCTATGGCTCGGTAACTGAGTGCCTTGTGTTAAACTCCGGTTCAGTTGAGGATTGTTGTTGCTCATACCTCTTGTTGAGAAACCTAGTGCACCTACAAATTAAGAAACACTGATCAAATGGTGCTCAGAATCAGAGTGCAAAGTGCTTTTATGAGAAGCACAACAACTTATCAGTAATATAAGCCAGATCGAAGACTTGTACTCACTTTGCGGACCATACAAACTCGCACCAAGTTGTGACAATTGACCTGACAATGACGGCGAGGGAGATGGCAGCATCTGTAAACAAAGTTTTTTTTAAATACTATGTAAACAAGATCTGACATTATTAAACACACACATTAGAAACCTTTTTCATATACAAATTTACATATACACATATCTATAAGTTGTAGAAGGTAAGATTTTTGAAATAATTTGATAGGTAATATAGTGAAATATATTATTCATATTATTGTTTTTTTTTTATGTAATTTATTCTTGTGATTTTCAGCATCAATACTCCAGTCTTCGGTGTCACATGATCCTTCAGAAATCATTCTCATATGATTTGCTGCTCAAAAAACATTTATTATTATTATCAATGTTGAAAATAGTTGTGCTTATATTTTTGTAGACACTGTGAAACATTTTTTCAAGATTCCTTGATGACTAGAAAGTTAAAAAGAACAGCATTTATATGAAATGGAAATATTCATAAACATCATACATGTCTTTACAGTCCCTTTTGATCAATGCAATAAAACTATTAACTTCTTTAATACATATATATTTCCCTTACTGACAAATAAAGACACTTTTTAGCACTAATGCAACATAAAAACAAATTATGATGCACATTAGATGTGTATTGGATGCTTTATCTGTGTACTTCATCTCTGTTATGTTGCCATTCAGAATGATGGGAAATACAAAACGGCTAAATTGTAGTCATAATTTGTTCCCGCCATGATTTTTTATTGGCACGCTACCAACTTCAAAAGTCTGGAAATTATGACATTATAGTGGCATTCACATTAGTTTCAGTAATTTATCATTAATGTTTTTAACCATATATACGTTTATGAAGGACTATTCCAAAATAAAAATAAAAGTAATTATTTTGGGAAGAAAACATTTTAACATTTTTTGGTGGTCAGGTCAGTGGAAATGTTCGCAGTGCATGTGAAATAAGTGGAATATTTTGTCATTCTATCGTACCTATGGTCAACAAAAGCATTAGACATGATGGACATAACAATCAGAATTAACTAACAACTGTTCTTACGTCTTTCTCCGATCGATGCGGGAACATTGACTGCTGGCCATAGTATATCTCATCCGGGTAGTCACTTGTTTCGACCCCCTCACCAAACTTCTTTCTCGTTGCACTGAACATTCCGTTTGTCACCTACGGAAAAAGAGGAGACGGTTAAAACCAAGATATTTAATTCCTGATCACCCATATCTGAAGCAAAATCATATCAGATTATCTTTGCACACATCTAGTGGACATATCATTAACCAGCTCTATATGGCAATACTGAGAACTTGTAATAAATAATGAATTACCACTGCAGAACAACACCTAAGGCTATATGCTGCTTTAAAGAGCATTATAAAAACGTACAGGCGTTTTTTTTTCTTCAGCACAATTTACTCCTAAATCTCGCAATGATGTGAAAGGATGTGAAAAGATTCAACTTTACTGTAATTTAGCGAATAATCGTATGCTATACGAGCATATAGCCCTGCTATTTCGGTACGTTGTTGAACAAATAATGTATTCGTCTATTCAAAACACAGCAGATATTTGGTGTATGGTTGGAAAACAAAACAAATATCGCTTTCTGAACTGACACCTGACAACAAACCCAAAATCAGCTTAAAACACCAGCTAAATCCATAAAGAAACATCAATTACTAGCCAGATACTTTAACAAACTCACATTTCAATAGAATACACCGTAGCATTATTCAAAAAATGTAAACTGATTCGTACGTGTTACGAACATAATTACAGAGATAAATAAGTAAAATAAACAATGGCATGTCGCGAAATGTTCTCATTTATGTCAGCTAGTTAGCTTTGACGATAGCTATGTAGCTGCTAACTAGACATTTTCGGCTTAAATAAAGATTAATGAAAACCAAAACACATTGAACCATTTAATCTATATTAGTCATGGTGTTTCAGTTTTATACTATATGTCTAGACATACATAATGCATGTATCTATCTGTTGAAATGGTTTAGGCCTCTGTCTCGGCTGACTGTTTTTGTTAGCACTCAGCGCTAGTCGGCTAACTCTGGCCTCCAGAACAAAAACAGAAACCAGTAAAGCCGTGCAAACGTGTCATTGCATTCATTCAGGTACTAAATATCTGCTTGGATAAACGCATAAAGCTGCAAATGTTCATTTGGCCCTGTATATGCGATGCAAACCCTGTTGTGCAATGTATTTTTTAGGGTGAAAATGAAATTGACTAACCGCATTAATTTACCCTCTCCTCGCAGATCCAAGATGGCTGTGTATCCTACAGGCGAGAATGCTGGGGGAATAGCCTTTACCCTCTGACCCCTTGACCTTCAGTTTAATTTCATACTAGACTCAGAGCCGTTAAACTGAAAATTGTGCTGGGTACATTCTGCTGGATATTAGACACTCTACAGGAGAATTTTATTATGTTATAATAGAATGACACCATTACGCTCTAGTCAGATCTTTTTATACCTGAAACATCACACCAGCACAGTTTCATTTGATTTTAGTTTATATTTTGCACTTATGATATTTTATAATAATAATGTGTAGTCTGCCATTTAACATGCCCTGCTTAGAATACAGAAAATCTTACAATCTTACAGAATATGTGTATTTTACATCTGCAGCCAAGTCCAGGTAACATTGATTAAGAATCCATAATTTGAGGTGTAATACAGAAATGGGATGTTTTCAAGATTTAATACTAGGAGTTACAAAAGTTTCGCTGATAGGTGTATAAGGCCGGTTTTGAAAACACTCGAAAGCAGCATGTGAATAATGTACAGTCAGCCAGTCATTATCTCAAAATACAGCCAGAGTGTGGTGTTTTATCACATTAAAGGTGTTTCTTTAAATAATGTTAACCTATGACATTGTTTTATTAAAAAATCCAAAGCAACTGGGTATACAACTGCTATATAGCAGAAGCATACCATTTCGGTGCTGCTAATCTTATTTTCGCAGCATAAAATATGCTGAAAATGCATTATTATCCTATTCTTTTATCTACATACTCTTTATAGTATACGATTTTATGTAAAACTGTCTGATATCATAATGAAGACAAAAGCATTAATAAAAGAATGAAATTCTTTGAATTTATTGAATAGAAGACTTTAGCTTTTGTTTGTCATGTCCATCCTATTTGTAAAAAAAAAACTTCTTACATTGAAATTAAATGTAATATATATAATACATATATCATTTTAATGGCATCGAAAGAATTGTAAGTTACACCACTGTAAATGGTTTACCTCATATATGTAATTTTACTGTAAAATACTGTAAAATGTATGTTTTTTGCAAGTGCTATGAATTACCATATAATTTACAGTAATAAAACTGTTGAAATGACATTCCCAGAAGTCCCTGTTTTATGAATACAATTTTTTAAATAAATAATTTGTTTTCTTCTTATTTTTGTTATCAGTAAGGTACATTAGTCTGTTTTGTGTTACATTTTATGTTATGTAGTTAATGTGTACTGCATTATTTTAGAGTCATGTATGTTACCATGTATGCATGTATGTTTTGTCTATGTACATAATATGACCTTGTGCACACCGTCTACAAGTATTTAATATGTTGTATGAACAGGCCCATTATGAACCTTGATTCATCATGTGGTATTGTCGTGGTTAACGTCTTACGGTAAAAAGGCTGCTTTTGTCATTTAAAGTACGTATATTAACATTATATTACTTAATAAAATATACAGTTATAAGTTGTAAAATATACAGGCATTCTGTAAAGCTGGAAAAACTGTCACAGTAGTTTTACTGTGAATTTCTGGCAACCACAGCTTACAGTTTTTACCGTAAATTTAACAGGATATTTTTTATTATATATTATATTCAGTTTGATTATGAAAAAAACTCTTTTTTTTTTATTTCCCATGCTTACTCTTAAACTTTCCCAACCAAATACTGTGGTATGGCAAGTGATGTTGACAGCTTCTACTGGTTGTCCATGACTGGGTGAGTCTTATCTTTTTGGGGTGGTGCACTCAAGTGGTCTCAGTTATGCAGAGGGTCCTGGCTTGAGATAAAAACGCTTAAATAGAAGGTCTCAGATGACCCTCAAATTCCTTAACCACAAGACACCTTTGGGCTTATCACAGCTCCCGGCCAGCTCCACCTTCCAGAGCTGGAAGAAATCATTTAGCCGGAATGGGGAGGAGCATGCTGGATGTCATCTCTGGTGCTCTCGGCGACTGGCAGGGCAGAGGTGTCAGCAGAACACAGGAGCACGAAACACCACACTGACGCCCATTTTGCGCTCTCAGTCTTTCTGACAAAAAAGCTCGATGGTAAATGAAGATCTACATTTTGGCAACCTGGTAAGAAGAAAGGAATATTTAAGTTTTTATTTAGTCTTTTCATTGTGTCATTCGTATCACTTATCTTAAAAATAATGGTTCTTTATTGGCATCGAAGGTTCCATTAAGAACCTTTCACATTCTTCCATAGATTAAAGGCTATTATGTAACCATCGATGCCAATAAAGAACCTTTATTTTTAAGAGTAAATAGCATTGCTGCAGAAATCTTTATGTCTGTATGACCCTTGTGTACCTTATATTGTGTTTTTAAGAGACCATGAATTTGGGCCGAGAAGATGGGAAATGTTGTGCGGGGTGCCGTGGCCTTCGTGCCCTCCGAGAGATGTCAACGCTTCTTAGTAGGCGACTTGAAGGAGATGCCGCTTGATCGTACTCTAGACCTGAGTAGCCGGCAGTTACGTCGCTTTCCAGCCAGAGCTTCTGCTTTCAATGAACTAGTCAAACTCTATCTAAGCGACAACCACCTGAGCAACCTGCCGTCGGAGCTGCGAAACCTGCAGAAGCTCCAGCTTCTAGCCTTGGACTTCAACCGTTTCGAAGAGCTTCCTCTGGTCGTATGCAGCCTCGTTCAGCTGAACATCCTCTACCTCGGTAATAACCGACTGTACGGGCTGCCGAAGGAGCTGAGGCAACTCACCGAGCTTAAAACGTTGTGGCTGGAGACCAACTGCTTCACCAAGTTCCCTCGAGTAATATGCCAGCTTCCCAACATCAAGACCCTTCATTTGGGCTACAATCAGCTACGTAGTTTACCCTCCGAGCTCGGGCGACTGGAGGAGCTGCGCAGCATCTGGCTGGCGGGGAACGTGCTAAATGACTTCCCTCCTGTGCTGCTGAAGATGCATTACTTGGAGGTGATCGATGTGGACCGCAATCGCATTCAGCAGTTTCCGTCGCTGGCCTACTTAAGAGGCTTGAAGCTCGTCATCTACGACCACAATCCCTGTGTGAACGCACCCGTGGTGGCTGAGGGCGTGAGACGGGTCGGGCGCTGGGCCGACAGCTCTGATGGTGAGGAAGATGAGGGTGATGGAAATGTTGTCCAAGCAAGCGTGAAGGTCCAGGGATCACTGGAAGACATCGAGTGAAGAAGATCAGTGAGGAACCGTAGAGCAAACAGCTATGTGATACAAAGAGCATCAAGATAATGATGAGTTTTTGAAACTGCAGAGAACGACTGCTGAATAGGGTGTTTGTGAAAAGCGACAATTATTTCTCTATAGTCTTTTATCGTTTTTATAATAGATATAGGCCTGGTTTCACAGACAGGGCTTAAATTAAGCCAGGATTAGGCCTTAGTTAAATTAGGCTTTTTGAGACACTGACATATGCACTGTAAAAAAAAAAAATATGATCAATAAGTTATGACAACATGCTTTTACATTGCTTTAACTCATCACGATAAGTTAAGCAATTTTCAACTTTTTTCCAATCCAAGTTGATTGTACTTTAAAATTAAAGGCAGCAACTCTTTCTTTTTTTTTTTCATTTTACAGTGTGCCAGTGCAAGTTTCTTTCAGTTAAAACAGCTCAAATATGCATTTTAGTCTGGGACTATGCTTACGCCTGGTCTGTGAAATCACCACCCGTATATATTTTATAGTAGATTTATAGAAGTGTATAGAAATTATTTAAATGTAAATAATTGTAATATATATATATATATATATATATATATATTAATCAGATTCATAATACACAATTGGGACATACATTAGATATTAGAATTAAAGTATTTATATTTATGAATTTAAATATGAAATATTTAATTTACACATATTTTTTCTGCCATTTGTAACACAAATATTTAAATTAAAGGGTATCCGCTTTCTTGATAAGTATGCCAAAGCCTTTCTTTCTTTCTTTCTTTCTTTCTTTTTGTGATGTTATTTATGATTGCTACATCATTTCAGTGTTTTACAGTATTGGCAACATTTCTTCTTCGGAAAAAGACACGGTTTCAGGACTATACCATTTTGTTTTTCCAAAATTGCAACCTAAACATTGTTTGTAGTCTCAGATTTCAGCCAGGCACTAGTTTAACCAGATTTCTGAATCTGTTCAGTGAGGTTGGCCATGTCAATGATAAATGGTACAATTCTAACAATGTGCCCCTGTTCATAAATAATGCAGATTTTCTGGAACAGATTCGGGTCTCCATTTTGATGTAAGACTCTTAATAGGTTTTAATCATCCTCTATATAGTGCTTCTGCTCTGTAATATGAAGTCAAGCAGGACACTGTTATATTCACGGGTTTAAAATATGTGAACAAGCCAACAAAGGATGACAGAATAATTATAAGCAATCAGACATTGTTTAAAATGATGTATATGTTGATGTGTATTATTTAAGCATTTACAAAATAGAACCTGTCAATAGTCACTCAATGGCAATAGGCCTATGTATTTAGGCTAGTAAATTAAACATAAAGGCAGGTCTCGGATTTACAAAAAGGACCCAGAATAAGCCAGGATTTGGCCTGAGTTAAATTAGCATATTTAAAGTGGTGGTTGATTATGATTTCACTTTTCTAACTTTAGTTAGTGTGTAATATTTCTGTTTGAGCATAAACAACATCTGCAAGTTATAACGCTCAAAGTTCAAAGGAAAGGGAGATATTTTCTTTTAAAGAAGTTGCTTTTTAAGGACTACAAAAGGCTTCCTCCTGGGTTAGTGACATCAGGAGCCCTTAAATTTACATAAACCCCGCCCCCGGGAACGTGATTGATAGATTATCATGACAGAATGCTAATCAATGACTAGAAGATAACTACACATAAGCTACTAGTAAATTTATCAACTAACCATTCAGAAATGTCCTGTTGCAGTCTACATGAGTCACTTCTTCTTGAGTCTCTCCATCATTGTCTGACTCTGGTTTCAACCATGGACTGTAAAAAAATATTTCAACATAAAAGGCTAAGTGTTTGAAATTTTCAGTGCATGTCTGTGTGAGGTAAAAGCTATGGGTAAAAGGAGGACACAAGTTGTTGTAGCTCCGCCCTCTGGGCCGGAGCAGCAGCTCATTTGTATTTAAAGGGGCAGACACAAAAACAGTGCGTTTTTGCTCACCCTCAAAAAGTGACAATTTTAACATGCTATATAAAAATATCTGTGGGGTATTTTGAGCTAAAACTTCACATACGCACTCTGGGGACATACATCTTATGAAAAGGGCATTATACATACCATTCCTTTAAGTAGCCTTTATAAACGTGCATTAGATAAAAACATTACTGGTGTGCATCTTACATTGACATTTATTCATTTAGCAGATGCTTACAACGCGACTTACGTGAGAACAATAGAAGCAGTTAAACCAGGGGCGTAATTTGTGGGGGGGATGGGGGGGATATAACCCCCCCAATATTTAAATCTATGCATTACAACCCCCCCATTATTTATACCATGATCACAATATCAGGAGGCATACCCAAACTTCAACCCCCCCCCAATGTTCAAACCAAATCTACGCCCTTGAGTTAAACTAACAATAGGACAACAATATGCAAGTGCTATGACCCTTCCCAGTTTAATCTAACACAGTAGGCTACATGCACTTTTTTACATTTTTTATAAATAGCAGACATCCCAAGTCTCCCGGAAGTTCCGGGAGTCTCCCGCATATTGATAGCGGCTCCCTGATGCCCGCAAATTAGTTAAAATCTCCCGGAATCAAGAGCGCGCGAGCAAGAGCGGTTAGACTGTGCTCCAAACCGTGTAGCGCGCACGACACGACAGAGAGGGAGAGAGCGAGAGACTTTGCGTGTGTGTGTGCGCCGCGCGTGTGTGCATCAAGAAGTGCATGTAAGACAGAGAGCATCCTGATTGGCCTGTTTTGGTAAGTCAACCAATCAATTGTCAGTGTGGGCGGGCTTTTATCTCTTCTCCCGCGGAACCTATCAGTTCAGTGTATCTAGACACAGGAGCGGCATCATGGCAGAGGGAGAGTGCCCCAAAAAGCGAAAATATAAGACACATTTTACAAGCAAGCAGCAACAAAGTGCAACGAAAGCAAGGAACAAAAGTAAAAGGCATTGGATGTAGGAAATAGGCCTACATGTAGGCTACATTTGGCGCTTATGTAAATAGTTAATTAATTTTTCTGTTATATTAAACTTTATTTCGGTATACAAGTAAACTCTTGTTCTGTGGTGATATGTCGGGGGGGGGGGGGGTGGGGGGGGGATACCTCCCTGAAATGACTTGTTGCAGGTTGGGATGTCTGAAATAGATATAGAATAGAAGAGACAGTGCTGGTATTAATGGATCAAGTGTTGCAGAAAAAGATGCGTCTTCAACCGTTTCTTGAAAATGGCTACGGACTCAGCAGCTCGGTTGAGTTCATGGGGTTGAGTTAGGCAGATCATTACACCAGCAGGGAACAGTCAAGGTAAAGGTCCGAGAAGAAAGAGATTTTGTGCCTCTTTGAGATCTGGCAGTGCACCACACGACGACGACGTTCACTTGCTGCAGAGCGCAAGTTTCTGGATGGCACGTAAGTCTGAAGTAATGAGTTGAGGTAAAAGGGGGCAGAACCAGTGGTTGTTCTGTAGGCAAACGTCAGTGACTTGAATTTGATGCGAGCGGCAACTGACAACCAGTGCAGTTTTTTGAGGAGAGGAGTGACGTGTGCTCTCTTCAGTTTGTTAAAGACCACTCCAGCTGCAACATTTAAGATCAGTTACAGAGGAGGACCTTAATCTTGACTTGAGACAAAACAATGGTAGGCCTACTGACATATTTTAAGATATGTCAGTGTAAATTGCTTTCAGTTAAGACACCTCAAACATGCATTTTAGTCTGGTATTAGCTTAAGCCTTGTCTGTGCAAACGGGGGAAGATAGTATAAACCTCGCAAAAACATGATCTGCAATTAATAGTAGACCTATCTAAATCTAGTATAAATATAATATATAATAATATATAAACATAGTATGAAAAAAACATTAATTCATAATAAACGTACGTATGTGAAAATAATTTCAAAATTCCCCACAAACAACAACAATAATAATAATAATAATAATAATTTTATTAATAATATTTTTTATTAATATTTATTATTGTTATTTATATATCTGTCCGTAATCTTAAATGTTTCAGATTTTTAATTTACGCAGCAGCTAAGTTACACAACATGACAAATTCAAAGTCCTTCTCCTTTTATACATCGTAGTGCTAATCATAGATCGTAATAATACAAAAGTAAGATATAAACGAAGATCATCGGATCTTTTTTGTTATTAAATAGCCTACGGTTTCATTATACACAGCTGTTACAACATTTGCGTAAATATATGTGTTTGGGAGGAAGAACGACAAAACGCTGAAGTTATAATAACTTTTATTTTGAAGGACACGAAGTCAAACAGCCATTTGTAAAGAAAGAGCGATCAGTTCTTCCACACACACAGTGCTGAGATTGAGCGGAGTTCCATTACTAACAGCAGTGATGGGGAAGAAGACTCGCACAGGCACCGGCAGGAGAACCATATTACAGCTCTCACCGCCCGGGCCGAACCGCAGCGCCACGGGAGCCGCTAGAGAGGACGGGGTCGCCTCTGGATCCGAAGGTGGGCGAGAAAGAGATCAGTAACGTTAGACATTTTTCAAGTCGTATAAAGTCTAAGGTAGAATCAGAAAGACAAAACATGGAGCAAGAGGAAACCATTTTAGACAAACACGCCTGTGGAAAACGGGTTTATTTAGTAAACTAGTTGGCTTACATTTGCGTCATTTGGCTAATCATAATACAAAAAATATGATATTTGTTTTGGTTTGGTAATTAATTTTTTTAAATAATCACAGACAAACTGTGTGGTTCTGTTCATACCTTTTTAATAGCCGTTTGTCAAGTTTAGCTTTAGCAACAATGGTAACTTTACCGATTAAACGAAAAATGTGCATGCAGATAGAACTTGTAAAGCTGGTTATGACATAAGCAACATAAAACCATCCTTAACGATTTACTTGTATATGTTAAAGAGGAGTGTTTCTTATTTAGGAGCTAAGTCATTTATACGCCGCAGTTAGCAGCGCAGCCGCACAGCGCTTCAGACAAAGCGTTAGCCAACATGCTAATTCACCCGCACAAGGACAACTTGGTTGGTTATAAATGTTTTTTTTTTTAATGTTACAAACTGGCTGTTTCCTTTTGTAGACGAACCCGAGGGTAACACAGACGGGCAAAGAGAAGTTAATGTAGTAATGAAGACACCAGCTGTGAAGGCCACACGTAAGTTATACCAAATTGTTGTCACTACATAATATAACCAATGTGTAGCAATATGCAAATATTGCAAGAATATATATCATAATGTCACACACACACACACACACACACACACATATATATATATTATTACATGGGTTAAATAATTTGAATTACTGTACTACAAATATCATTGTATTTGCTCTGTAGAGGGTTTATCTCTGCTTGGAGCTTATGAAGACAGTGAAGATGAAGATTTGGCGGAAAACACCTCGACTGTCATCAAGGCAAAACATAACCAGTCTGCAGACATTGACAGCACACTTGCAAATTTTATGGCGGTGAGTGAAGTCATGGGCTACTTGTGCTACTAAAGGGTTAATTCAGAAAATTGAAAATTGTCATCTATTACTTACTTACCCTCATGTTGTTCCAAACTTAAACTATTCTATGCTGAAAATCAGCCATTATTACACAAGTTTTGAGTGACGTGAGAGTGAGTAAGAAGAAACCCTTTAAGACCAGACATGTTGATTTATGCACAGTTTATCTTAAAAAAATCTTTTTTTCTATCAACATGGGTTATCATATGTCTTCCCCAAAGGAAATTGATGCAATTACGACCCAACCAGCCCAGACACCTGAATCGGGGACAGAGGCAAGCGCACCAGCCCCAACTCCTCCGCGCCCCGAACCCAAAACAGACCAGCAGACTCAAGAATTTCAATACAACACTCAGTACTCCCTCGCAGGAGGTAAGTTTACTAGTTGACTGGTGGTTTGGTTTCCTACATATAAATCTTAAAATAATTCAAAACGTGAGAGTTAATCCGTGTTTTCTTGTGTTCGGGGATGTTGTAGCTGGGTTGGAGATGGGTGATTGGCAGGAAGTGTGGGATGAAAATACCGGCTGTTACTACTACTGGAATACTCAGACCAATGAGGTGGCCTGGGAGCTTCCGCATTACCTGGCAGACCAGATGCAGAGTCAACATTACACTGGGAGGCGAGTGCAGCGAAACCAACATTTATATAAATATTAAATTGAATAGAAAATTATGTATGTTGCAATATTATTTTATATATGTGTGTGTATATATTATTTATTTTAAAATTGTTTATTAATATTTTATGCATTTTATATATTAATTTTGTTAGTATATAATATATTGTTAATAAAGGAGAATGCAGGAAAAACCCTGTGTGTGTAATATATATATATATATATAAATATATAATATATATATATACACACACACACATGCAGGGTCCGAAATGAACACCCGCCAAGCGCCAAATGCGGGTAAATTCCGTTTGTCGAGTAAATCTCAAAAGTCTATCCGCCCCACTGGCGGGTGAATGTTCATACCAAAATTGTAATGTAATAAAATGTTTATTACAATTGCATTTTGTAATGTTATAAAATATCTGTCATGATGGCTACGGACATGACGGAGTTGTTGTGTTTGCGGGATGGGAATTGAAAGTGACAGGGCGCAACTGAAGAACGAGCAGAGAAAGAGAGAGAGAGCCCCGGTCGCGCGCGCGCTCTTTCTCTTCGGAGCCAGGCGAAAGTAGCTACTATAAACAAGGCTTCACCGTCTCCTAAGCGCTGTCTTGCTCTCTCTCCCTGGCACATATTAATCAAAATAAATCGACACGATGGTAAAAGGTCGGAAGACCATAGTTTCATGTGGAGCATTCGGATATATTTTGTGCTAAAATAATTGTGCTAAATACCTTATCTTCTCTGAAAAGCGTTCCGCCCATTCAGTTTACATAAGTTAAACCACACTTTAAATAAACGAAAAAACCTATCCAGTGATGAAATGTTTTCTGTGTTGACACAAATCTTGTGGGATGTCCTCCTAGCTGCCGGGATAATCACACAACGCGTACACATCCGATAATGACACGTCCAATTCGCGAACTAATGACTCATTTGAACCGATTCCTTTTAATAAATGGTTAAAACAACTGACATTTCCAGTCCTCCAGTTACTGATCGGATCAGTCAGAGTAAATGGAGTCAAAAATAGGCAGAGTAAAACTAAATATTTTTTTTTGAAATAATTATAATATATTATTATTGCATACATTTTATTAAATATACAATTAATACATTTCATTTGTACAGAACTATTTTCATAGGCACCACCACAAAAATATTATTTTAATGTGTGCAAATTGTGTAATATGTGTGTAAATAAAAGTAAGAATGGAAAATAATAGACCAGAAATATGATGACAAAAATGTTTAAATATAGCCTATATATAAATTAATGTATATTTGTCACAAAAAGGCTGTTTATTATTTTGGCCGGTAAAAAATATGCTTGGCTGGTGGATTTTTTTCATCTACCAGTCCCCGTGGCAGGTGAGCCAAAAAGTTAATTTCGGACCCTGCACACATGTATGTACAGTATATAGGAATTTTATCATGTATTATATTACTCTTAGTTGAAGTGATCTTAGTTTAAATGTGTGTGTATGTATTATTTATGTATTTATCATGTATTTGATATATTCATCTTACTTGGAATGTTATTTTCCACAGCTCATCTGTAAATGGCAATGGTGTTGCACATCATAGCAGTTATACTGAACCGCCTGTTGCAGCTGCTCCTGCATCTAAGAGAGAAACCAAAAAGAAGGCAAGGACTTTTTTTGCGACTTCCCCTTTAATTACATAGGATGGGAAAACTACTAGAAATTATTTTATTTTTACAGTTTGGTCATTGGTCTAATTCTTCCTCTATCCTCACAGGAAGTTATCGAGAGTGTTGTGGCTTTGACCAGCGAGGAAGAAGAGAGGAGAGGAGTGGCAGCTACTCTTCTTGCTCCTCTCATCCCAGAAGAGGTGAAGGAGGCAGAGGAGAAGTGGAGAAAGAAGGTGCTGGCCATAGAGGAGACCGTAGAAGCGGCCCAGGAACTAGAGGGAGAAGGCACTCCGTCTTTGGACTCCCCAGCTCTCCGGGACACGGATAGTCAGAGTAACCAGCGCAGCAGGAACCACTCAGCAGAATCATCGGACAGGGAGGAGGAGGCAGAAGAAGACACCATGGAACTAGAACTAGCACTAGAGAGGAAAAAAGTGAGTTGCATCATTAGAAATAACTCATTAGTCTATATTATATGAATATTCTGATTATGAATGCATCGTGTAAACATCTTGGTCTGATTTTCATAAGCCATTATTGTCAATGAATTAATATTTTATTACTTGAAATATAAGGTTTCTGTTTTGAAATGGTGATATTGAAAGTTTTTTCTTCTGCAGGCTGAGCTTCGTGCCTTGGAGGAAGGTGACGGCAGTGCCGGTGGTTCGAGCCCCTGTTCTGAAGCTAGTCAGGATGGGCCTCGTAATTTACTCTTGAAGAAGAGCAAATGGAAGACGGCCTTCATCCGTGCGCCAAGTCCTGACTCGAGCAGCCGGGGCTCGGACAAGGCGGGATGGGCCACTCCAGAGCACTCAGACAATGGTAAAGATTTGCAGGAATAACTGAAGTTTGGAAATGATTTTGATTCACAAACTTGAATCAATTCTTTTGCGATTCGATTCTATTCAATATTGATTAATTTGTATATAAATCAGGTAACTAGTACTGTAAACTAAACATGGATTCTGTTGGTACTAATATTGAAGGTTAAATAACTGATTTATATACAATTAAATTACACACAAGGACGTTTTTAATAGTAATAATAAAGTTATAATACTAACTTTATTATTACAGAATTATGTTTCTACTCAAAATTGTTTTTTGAAATATAAACATTTAAAAGGTGGCTGTCATAAACATTTGATGGATTTATTCAAACATTCATTAAATATTGAAGAACAGTAAAACATAAATATGTAATTTAGTGCATAGTATATATTTAGCAAAATGCTCTAGATTAATTTTAATTAATTGATTCTGGTCATTAAATGGCTTTTCTGAGGTAAATGTAATATTACGTGACATTGTTTAAAAGCTGGTTTATTGATGTCTTCCCGTGGTTGAAGCACTGATTGAGAGATTACATGTGACGTGATAGGGATTCTGGTGAGTTGTACTGCATCTTTCAACATATGTTCATTGTTTATTTTGTGCTGTAACTAGTAGTAAAGAAGAGATGATCCACTGAGGTGGCAACAGCGATTCCTTGCCACAATAAAGAGCGCCAAAGCGGTATTTATTGTTTGAATTATATAAAATGGACAGAATTTGAAATCAGAGACTTTGTTTCATATCAACAGTAACAAAACTTATTGCGATTTATTGAATGGGAGGCACGAAAGCTCTGTTCATTCATCACCTGAAAACAGCAGACTAAAAAAGATCGATTCTTGGGATTTAAGAATCGATATTGGTTCATAAAAATGAGAATCGATTGAAATCGAGAAATCGATATTTTTAGTAATTAACCTGACAGAATTTAGGTTTTGTACATCATAAATGAATGAGTGACTTACTGAACCTTTTGCATTTCAAGCACATTCCAAACCGGCTGAGAAGCAAGGAGAAGAAGATGAAAAGGAAAAGCCTGTAACCAAAGCTCTTCAGAAGGAAGAAGAGGACCTCAAGGTATTTTTGATACACGTCCCTGTTCTTATAGTGCGCAAATAAATTCTGCACATTACTATTTTTTTCACAATCTATTAGGGATGCACCGATATGAACATTTTGGCAGATAGGATAACCGATAATTCGATATATTTGAAAGCCGATAACTGATATATTGGCCGATAAATCTAAATTCAAATGTATATAATTTAGGGAGCCTGATTACAAAAAAAGTCTCACCATTAAAAGCCATGTCCCAAGGACACAATTATAATGTTCTCATTATAATTTTATGTAGCCTATATGGCAGGCTTGCTGCTGTATTTTTCTTTTTTCAAATGATTCTAATTATATTTCAAGCAATTTAAAACCATCATGGCTCAGCTGAAGGAAATAATCCATTATTTATCGGCTTTAATATATCTGCCAAATTTTCTTATTGGGTCGATAACAATCATTGAAAAAGTTTATAAAAAATATTGTACATCCCTACAATCTATCATCAATGTAATGTAAAGTTTGGGGTCAGCATCATTACTCCAGTCTACAGTGTCACATGATCCTTCAGAAATCATTCTAGTCTGCTGATTTCTAAATTTAAAGAACTTCTGTTATACCTCATAGTTGTACTACTATGAGAAAATGAGCTACAAGTTACAGTTACTGGTAATATGAAATGTCATGTGACAGCAATGGTCTTTATTAACAGTTGTCCATGTCGCCTGTTTTAGTTTCAGATCGGAGAGCTTGCCAACACACTCACCAGCAAAATGGAGTTCTTGGGAATTGACAAGAAAACCATTTCGAACTTTCAACTGCTGTTGCTGCAAACGGAGGTAAGAAAACAGACAATGCGCTCATAAGCGCAGTTAGTTGTTTATGCTTCCGATCCATGTATTAAAATGGCCCTCCGACTTGTTTTCCTTCCTACAGACGCGGATCGCAGACTGGCGAGAGGGCGCTCTGAACGGAAACTATCTCCGGCGCAGGCTGCAAGAAGCCGCCGAGCACATAAAACATTACGAACTTAACGCCACTCCCAAAGGCTGGTCCTGCCACTGGGACAGGTACGCGCTCCTTACCTTTCACATCCTTATCACTCCCCCTCCCTAAAAGTCCCCCTCCTCATGTGACGATTGACACTGCCTCCGCCGCTATGACAAACGCGCGACTGATTTACACTTGGTTGTATTACTGGGGAGTGTTTACGAGCACGGATAAAGACAGAAGGTAATCCTGATAAGGGAGCGTCTCTAAAGAGCCAGCAGCCTGACCACCAAAGAATTGGGCCCCATCTCTTCCCTCTCAAAGTCAGTCAAAAGGGTTAGGAAGGTGGTTGCGCGTGCGAGAGCTTTGAACTTTGCAGGACTGCCCCCAAAATGATGGGAGAAATGAGTGACCATGTGGAAGCAGCGTGTCACACGAGCATCAGTAAAGGAAGACGATGCCTTGCCTTCGGAGCCTGAAGGTCAGACCAATCTATTTCATTGTTTTACTGGATTTCTTTTCCATGCTCTATTGATGATTGTTAAATAAAAATGTTGTCTTTCACCCTCTGTTAAAGATGCCTGCCTTAAGGCATCTAGCGGAGGGGTTTTGTCACTGTCAGTGTGAGTATTGCCATGATTTGTAACGATGTTGGTAACTTTTCAGGATTGGAGATTTCTCTATTTTTTTTGCCATGTTTTTTATTTTTATTATTTTTTATAGAGATTAAGGTGGGTTCTTTATTAGTGCACCCATTATAATCTGGTTTCTCCTCTGGGTTCCCAATGAAGCCCAGTTCAAGATTCCCTCATTAGGGAACTAGAGCCCCCCTTCCCTTTGACTCTCCAAGGGTCTCACGACCTTGAAATCAGTTGAGGGAAAAGTTGCTAAGGCGCATCTGTGTGTTTGTTTCTCCACCTCTAGAGAGCACAGGCGGTACTTCTATGTGAACGAGCGGACCAATGCTTCCCAGTGGGAGTTTCCAGTCGTGAAGGAGGAAGAGGAAGCCAAGCCACCCCTGCCGCCCACAGCTGCAACCGGAGATACAAGCCAACCATCTGCAGAAACCACTGGTGCTATAACAGGTCAGGGTTGTTGGTCATGACATCTTTACTTAAAAATGCATAAAGAATTCTGATTATACAGACAAGGACCCAAATCACCAATTGCATAGGCTGCAGTTTTAATTAAATATAGGCACTGCATGTTTCAAGTGTAATTTTACAGTTGTACTTGTAATTATCTTTAATAATAATTACAATAGAAATATTTCATATTGTTTACTTTATTTTTAATTGGTCAGTATTTATTATTTGGGCCATAATTTTTATATGAAAAAGACTACAATAATAATAATTAAATATATATAAACCATAAAACTATATATCATAAACTATATATATATATATTAGGGCTGGGAAAAAGTTAATCGTGATTAATCGCATCCAAAATAAAAGTTTTGTTTACATAAAATATGTGTGTGTAGTGTGTATAATTATTTTGTATATATCAATACACACACATGCATGTATATATTTAAGAAAAATGTGTTATTAATATAAAAAATATGTATATTTATATATAATATAAATGATGTATAAATATATATACAGTATATACATGCAAATATTTCTTAAATATATACATGCATATGTGTGTATTTATATATACAAAATAATTCTACACACTACACACACATATATTATGTAAACAAAACTTTTATTTTGGATGCGATTAATCACGATTAATTTTTTCCCAGCCCTAATATATATATATATATAGTGCTGTCAAATCGATTAATCACATCTAACAAAAGTTTTTGTTTATATAATATATGTGCGTGTATATATTATTTTAAATAAATTTTTATCATGGCAAAGTAACATAATAAACATGCATGACGTATTATGGAATAATAATAAAAAATTTTTTTTTTTAAATAAACAGGAACTTCTTTAGAAGTGCAGTCTTATTGGTTGGCTCCCCAGCCTCCTCAGCCACCATTGCCTCCGCTTCCTCCAAATGTCCCGCCCCCTCCACCTACAGAGCAACCGCCTCCACCCCCTCCACCACCTGAATCTCCACCTCCACCCCCTCCACCACCCCTCGAGGATGACGGAGAGATCGAGGAAGTGGAGATGGAGGATGAAGACTCAGAGCCTCCGGCTCCTGGAACAGAAGAGTTCAAGGTCACTTTTTTTGTTGTTGTCTTGAGTCAAGATTGTTTAGCTTGTGCTTTAGTGCAAAGTAAAGCTATATGTTCTGATGTCTCTTCCTTAGGCGGCTGAAGCAGCAGCATCTTTGGCATCTGCAGCTAAAGCACAGAAACGCAAGGCCCCAGGCTCAGTCCCGCTGCCTAAAACTGTCACCATTGGCAGCAGCGCCATTCTTTACACTCAACCCATTGCCACAGCTGGTAAGAATAAATTACTTTTACATATTACATCCGTATTTTCAAAAAGTCCTGTCTTGTGGCAAGATGTTATTCCTCATGTTCCTCTCGTTCTTTCACAGCACCACTTCTTGTTGCTAATGCTTACTGGGGTATGCCTGCTACACTTGCACCTCCTTTGCCTTCAGAAAGCATAGTCCCACCGATGCCAGCCCTGCCCCCCCTACCACCCCCTCCTGCTCCACAACCTTCCAGCGTCCTGGAACCCATAAACAAAGTCCTTACAGATAAAACCAAGAAACTAAAAAAGGAGAAGGTAGGTGTTTTACCTGCTTTTGATCCGTTTTTGTTGCTGTTTTTTTTGTTTATTTTATTACTTTTTGTTGTATTTGTTTTTATTTTTATAAAGTTGTGCTTTTTTTTATTTTTATTACTTTTTCTTTTTTTCCCTATAAACCTCAGCCTTAAATATTTGATTTCAGAAAGAATTAATAGGGAATAATTTGCTGTGAATTTTATTTTCGTAAAGACAAAGAAGAGCAAGACGAAGATGCCGTCCCTTGTAAAGAAGTGGCAGAGCATTCAGAAAGAGCTGGATGAAGAGGAGAAGTCAAGCTCGAGCGATGAAGATCGAGATCAGCTCAACAGCAGACGCATCGAGGAATGGAAAGTGCAACAGCTTTCAACGTAAGTTTGAAGAATCCAATGCCAAGATTATCTACACACATTTGAGAGAAAATACAGATTGTTCAAATACTTGTCTTTTTGTCTTCATTTGCAGAGGGAAGGCTGGGAAGAACGCTAACTTTGAAGCACTGCCTGAAGACTGGAGGGAAAGAGTGTTAAAGAAAAAAAGAAAGCTGCAGAGTTCATAATATCAGTCTTGAAAGCTTCTGGCAGGGTTGGACTAAACTGCGTTTTGGCGTTGTCTCACACTTACTAAGCTTCAGTGGACTTTGAATGTTTATTTTTGATATGTGCACATTACCTGTTGGAGCCTATTTTAGGTAAACTGCGTGCTGTTAAATTCAAATGCATCATCTTGTGACTCTAAGGTATACTTTGTCCAAAAGTTGTTTTAAAGATGCAGTGAACCTGAAACCAGGTTAAACATGTACAGAATTTTTTGTTCTACTTTTTTTTTTTTATTACCCCAACCATGAAACCTGTGCACGATTTGTCTATAAATGAAAACGTAATGAAATCAATATTAAAGGATTGTTCCATTTCTTCTGTTTCTCAGAACTGCTATCTTACAAAAAAAATTATACGTTTTGTACAATGTCAAGGGTGCGAACATCAGCTGTACAGTGGTCTCTGCTCTTTTACATTGCTGTAACTGTATCCAGCTAAGATTAATCTCAGATCAGACAAATTGCCCACTTTTAACAAGACTTTCAGCCATGCTTCCAAAAAATGATAGTTAAAACTTCCGGTGGTAAACTTCAATAGTTGAAACTTCTTGGCCACTCCATTGCACTTTAAAGTATACTTCATATGTGAACTAACTATACTTTTTCCCCCACTGATGTGTGATGAACACTCAACGTAACAAATATGCCATGTTCACTATGTCTTACTTTTAAATCTTGTGATGTTCAGTGTAAATGTTCCCTGAATTGGGCCTGTAGAGCCATTGAACTTTTTCTACATTGTAGATAATAAACTTTTTTTCCACAAATATTTTGTTCAAGAAACTTCTGTTATGTGAGCTGTTTAAACAATTTAAGTGAAATAAAATGTTAACAAATAAAGTAAAATAAACTTATCCTTTAAGTAAATATTTTGTTTAGCTGCCAAGACACCAGTTCTAATTGTAGAAGTATGAAAGCCAAGGTATGAAAATAATAATATGAAAACATATATATATTATGGAATCAATGGGGTCCATCAACTGTTTGGTTTATCCATATTTTTCAAAATACAATGTCCTTTTGTGTTTAGCAGAAGAAAGAAATTCATACAGGTATATCAGGTTTTTTTTAGTGAACTATCGCTTTAATGATTCTAAAATAACATTGACCTGGTTATGGTTATGACCTCAAATTATGACCCCCAGCAGCGCAAAAAATGTTATGCTTAAAGCAAAATATTAATTTTCCCGTTATTTTTTTTACATTTACATATTATTTATCTAAAAACATTCAAAAAAATTGAAAGGAAAATATATTTCACAAGTGTTATTGCTTTCTGCTTTACGTTTTTGCAGCGTGCTTTACACAGGAAACGTGCGTCGTGCCCATGGCAACCGTGACACAAATGGCGTCTAGGGCGCCTCAACAATAATTGTAACGATGAGATTTGCATCAAAAAGTGTAACTGTTTAACTCTCTACTCGGGCCATATTCATTTTAAAATACTAATTTGGAACAATTCGCAGTTTTCATTGGGGGATTAAAACAAGGTATTCTCAACTAACCAGCGGTGTTATGTGATATCTTGTCAAGCGCTTGTAAACTGTACAGTTGTTTAGCGTTGTTTACGATGACTTAATGACCCGCGCGCACTCGCATTGCTTTGAGGTTCGGGAATGCAGGTGAGTGATCTGGCTCAAAATTTACTGCTGCTTTGCACTCTACGGTTACAGTCTAATATTACCCAGTTAGTTAACATGGCAGCTTTCTGATACTCAATGCCTGTTAACCTTCTGCCCCTTTGCTTGTATTTAAACGCATTTCTTTGTTCTCTTATCATGTTGAACAAAAGAAACCAGATGATTCATACGAGAGATTCATTTTGCTCCATCTTCAGCATTATGGCTTCCTCTCAGGTAAGTCATTGATTCAACTCAACCTTTGGATGGGTGGGTTAAACCAGGTGGTTTAGTAGATTTTCTGTGTCCTCTAATAATATAGCATTGTATATTATTTTTCTATCTCACATGTTGTTTCTGTATACATAGACAACGGCGACTCTGTGCGTTCTGGTGTTCCCTTCAAAAGAGAGTGGGAGGAAAACCAAGATTCAACTGCCTCAGGCACAATCAACTCTCCATCTGAGAGCAATGACTCCAACCTAGAAGAGGAACCCAAGCCTTGTCCAAGTAAATATGTAAAACTGTCCCTATTGACAGCTCTATGAAGTATGGAATCCCATTTTGCCACATTAAAAATCATGTTTTGGTAAATTATAATTATGATATAAAATGTAATAATTATGATATAAGAAAAAAGAAATCAGAATTATATCCTACTAAGTCAGAATTGTGACGTAAACCTTTCCACTTAATTGTCATAATTACAACTTTTTATGATACACAATTAAAAAAAATGGTAATTTTGCCATTTTGTCTTTTTTCAACTTTGTATAAATTGAGATATTTTTCATAATTGGTGTTACATTTTTGACGTTTTATATCATGTGTCTAAGGATGTCATTTTTTTTTACTTTAAATCTAATAATTTCAACATTATTTTGAAATTGAGATAAAAAGTCATAATTATTATGAAAAGCCATCACTTTTTAAATGTCATGAATAATCTTGATTAGTCATTAGTTACCTGATAATTTTGACTTTACGTAATAATTTTGACTATTTTCTCATACTTATGACTTAGTCTTATATCTTATTTTTTGCTTTTTTCATAATTTTGACTTTATTCCATGAGATCATAACTGACGTTTTATCTCATAATTTTGGCTTAGTTTGTAATAAATTTGACATTTTTATATCATAATTGTCTAAGTATGTCAAAATTTGGACTTTTTAAATTGTATAATTTCAACATTATTTTGAACTTATAAGATCCTAAGTATTATGAGACAAAATTATGAGATTTTGAAATAGAGATTTGAAAATGAGAGTTGAAATTTAGACAAAAAGACCTAATTATGACTTTTTAAATTTCATAATCTTGATTTATGTCATAATTTTGTCTTTTTACCTGATAATTTTGACTTAGTTTGTAATAATTGTGACTATTTTCTTAAAATTATGACTGTCATTTTGACTTTTTATCTCATAATTATGAATTGGTACATCTTATTTTTTTGCTTTTTTTTATTTATTTTGAATTTATTTCATGGTGTCACAACTTTGACTTTTTATCTCATGACTTAGTTAATTTTGACTTTTTAGGTAATGATTTAGACTATTTTCTCATAATTATTACTTTTTATGTCAATTTCGACTTTTTATCTCATTATGACTTTTTTTTATATACTCTTTCGTAATTTGTTTCATATTATTTCATGATGCCACAACTTTCACTTTTTCATAATTATGATTTACCAAAGCATGGTTTGTGTTTCTGATGTGGTGAAAATTTGCTTCCATAAAGAAGCATGAAATGATATGTCAATTTAAATATTGTAGCGTACAATACTAAATAGAGCTGATCTTATGTAAAGATGCCATATGCTGTGACATCACCATTGCCACCTAAATTGTGCCATATATTTATTTCAAGTTGCCACACAATACGCAACACTTGAGTCTAACCAGTTAGATCCCATTTGAAATTCATGGCCTTCATAAAAGATTCAGACACTAAGAACGCATAATTGTTTCAGGTGTCGATAATCGTTGCTGGTGACGGAAGCTTCTCACATGTCTTTTAACTACAGCATGTCTGTTGGCTAATAGATTTTGCATTAGGATGTCTGTGTGTTTATTTTTTTTCAAGGTTTTTTCAGCTTAGACAAAGTTCTCAAAACCCGGCAGCTTGTTTTTGACTTTGATGGGGAGCGGCCCATTCCACGATTAAGGGAACCTTTGGACCTCTTCACAATCCCATCTACCTCCTGTCCATTCCAGGGCGTCCGCTGGCCCATAGAATGTGAAGTGATCTGTGACAAAATAAAGCATTTAGGTATCAGTTCAGCTTTTTCAAAAATAAAAGTTTTTGACTTTTTAAAAACTTTTTTTTTACACAATTAATACAGTATATTCTCAGACTGATACCGCATCTGTAGTGATTTGTGTGAAGACACTTTATCTGTCAATGCAATATGGCCATACAATGAACTCTTTGATGATGTCATTTTTAAAAAAAATTGCCAATCAAATAGTTTTTTCTGTTTTTTGGGAGAGAAAAGTCAAAAATGAAAACGATCCTGAAGAAAAAAGCCTATTTAAAACAAAGGAAAACATAATCTTTGACGTAATCTTTTATTGTTATTCCTTAGAAAAAGCAGAAGTAGTTTTGTTTAATATATATATATATATATATAAATATATATTTTTTTTATACATTTCTATGCCAAATTAAAGTCACGTTGTGCAACCAACATGCAAGAAAAAATAATATGATATGATATCATAGGTTAATTAGTCTTTTAAAATATCAGATACTTTGATATTTTTATGACAAGACAAGTTTAGTTCAGGTTGTAAAGTGTCATGTAGTGTGACTCACCCAAAATTAATGACATATGAATTACAAAAATACATTTTGCCATGTAAAATATATTTAAAAACATATTTGACAATAATAAAGTTTCACCTGTTTTAAACTACGCACCATTTTGATGTGATTCTTCTAGTCTCTTAAAAGGTCAGACTTTTTATAGTGAGACAATTCGTTTCGCCCAAAACTGATGATAACAATTCATGATATTTATTTAAAAAAAAAATGTAATTAATTAAAATTAAGATAAAGTTTCACCCTTTTGAAACTAGATTTTTAAAATCTTTTTGCGCGTCTTAATTCATAAATGAGGGCTTTGAACTCTCCATTTCTTATATATCTTTTGAAAACCAGAATGGGACCCCTCAGAGCCGGAGCCGTTCCATCAGCCAACAGGTGAGGAGCAGACTCCCATGCCAGTAGGAGACGTGAGAGGAAACACTGTCTACTGCATAGACCCAGGTAAGAAAAGTATTTTTCTCATTGTAAAAACTTCTAGCTACTTCCACAATTTGGTTTTATAGCCTAACTTCTTTGTTCACCGCACCATTTTAGCCACAAAAACCTTCTACTTCACCTACTCTCGTGTGGGTGGGAGCAGAGGACCCATTGAAAGTGCCACGTCCTGTGCCAACCATCAGAAGGGGCCTACGCTAGCATTTGAGTCTCGTTTTGAAAGTGGAAACCTACAAAAAGCAGTGCAAGTGTGAGTCATACAGCTTCATAAACACTCCCATAAATACTTATCTGTCCTTTCAGAGCCTGTATATCTTGATATAATGTAAACCTTTCTGATCTATGTTCCAGTGGTCAGTATGATTATGAGCTGACTTTGCGTACTGACTTGTACACCACTAAGCACACTCAGTGGTTCTACTTCCGGGTGAGGAACATGAGGGCAGGCGTCACCTACCGCTTCACCATCATTAACCTGATGAAGTCCAGCAGTCTGTATGGTGCCGGTATGCGCCCGTTACTCTACTCTGAACACGCTGCCTGGCTGAAGAGGGAAGGATGGCATCGAGCGGGAACCAACATCAGGTGACAAATAGTGATTTGTCTCTATGTTCTCATTGTAATGTTTTGTGAAGACACAAAAAGTTGTGGCTCAGTTATCATATTCTAATATGTCCATGATAAATAAATAGAAAAATATTTTTAAAAACTAGTCGGAAGCCCATTTCTGCCACATAAGAAAAAAATCATGCTTTCGTAAATCATAATCATGACATAAAAAAAATATTGACAAAAAGAGTTGATATTATGAGATACTTAGTCGTAATTATGAGATTAAAAGTAAAAATCATGAAAAGTGGAAATTGACAAAAAGTCAAAATTATAAGATACTAAGTCATAATTATGAGATAAAAAATCTAAATTACGAGATATACCCCCGGTTTCACAGACACGGCTTAAGTCTAGTCCCAGACTAAAATGCATGTTTGAGCTGTTTTAACTGAAAGCAACTTGCACTGACATATCTTAAAATATTTGTTTTAAGATATGTTTTGTCTTAAGATGCACACCAATGCTTTTTTTTTTTTTTTCTAGGGCACGTTTATAAAAGCTACTTAAATATCCTTTGAACTAATGCTAAATCCTGGCTTAATCTAAGCCCTGTCTGTGAAACCAGGCCACCAAGTCATAATTATGAGACAAAACATTGAGATAACAATTATGAGATAAAAAGTCAAAATTATGAGTTACTAAGTCATAATTATGAGATAGAATGTTGTAATTATGACAAAAGCCATTTTTGTCATAATTGACTTTTGTGTCAATTTAAAGTTTATCTCATAGTTATAGATACTCATAGTATCTCTTAATTTAGACATTTTATGTAATAATTTAGACATTTCTATCATAATTATGACTTTGTATCTCATAACTGTAACTTTTTTATCTCATAATTATGATTTACCAAAGCATTATTTTTCTTTTATGATATCAGGACACTGAAATGATTGGCTTTATGCACCCCAAAAAAATATTTAAATTAATTTTAATTCAGAAATTATAAACATGCTCATCAAACATGAGGTGTATTCAAGTCTCTGTATGTTGAAATGGCATTTTTAAATTAATAATAGATCCGGACAAAAACATCCAGGTGGGTGTTATTGACCCAACTGCTGTCTCAATGTCTTTTAGGTACTACAGAAACAACCTTGAGCAGGATGGTAAAGCGCTGTACTCCCTCACCTGGACCCTGGAGTTCCCTTATGACGGTGACACCTGCTACCTGGCCCATTGCTACCCTTATACATATTCAAACCTTCAGCATTACCTGCATGAGGTCATCTCAGACCCTGTCCGTGCAGCGTACTGTAAACTGAGGGTGCTCTGCCGTAGTCTGGCGGGAAATGCGGTGTATGTGTTGACTGTAACATCACCGTCCAGCAGCTTAGCAGAACGGAAAGCCAAGCGGGCAGTTGTCGTGACGGCACGGGTGCACCCAGGAGAAACCAACGGCTCTTGGATGATGCAGGGCTTTCTGGAGTTCCTGCTGAGCGACTTGCCTGACGCTCGTTTGTTGAGGGAAATTTTTGTCTTTAAGGTGAGGGAAGGAGGGCAAGGCACGGATGGAGAATGGGTTTTGGAGAAAATTTCATGCCATGTGCTTCACGAAATGTAAACAGTTGGATTACCACAGTAACGGATGTTCTGGCCGCAGGTTATACCGATGCTAAACCCTGACGGTGTGGTGGTGGGGAACTACCGCTGCTCACTCACAGGCCGCGATTTGAACCGAAACTACCGCAGTCTGTTGCGCGACTCTTTCCCCTGTATTTGGTACACTCGCAACATGGTGAAAAGGTGAGTGATGATTGTGGCACTCTTTTAGCATGCTAATGTGACACATCTTGTGTATGCTAAACATGAAATAAGGTGCACACAGAAGTCACTTTCAAAGCATGCTTTCTGTTGGTTGGCACAGCGAATTCGTGTGACCAACTTGAGAAACGAGCGGAATCTGCATGAGGAAATCTTTCACACTCGCACAAAACACACAGATTCCTATTGGACTGATTGGATTTGGCAATGGTAAATGTGACCACACCTATACACCTGGCTAATTTGATGATCCCACAGGTTGCTTGCCGAAAGAGAAGTGGTGGTCTACTGTGACTTTCATGGTCATAGCAGGAAAAACAATGTGTTCATGTATGGATGTAATGATCGGAAAGATGCCTCGCGGTGTCTTCAAGAACGCATTTTCCCGCTTATGATGAGCAAGAATGCTAAAGACAAGGTTAGCTGTGGCCATCATTGTTGTAATCGCATGGCATATAGTCTCTCATGCATGCAACGTTTACATTTTGAATGAATGCTTTTGTCTTTTAGTTTTCCTTTAGGAGTTGCAAGTTCAAAATGCATAAAAGCAAAGAGGGCACCGGACGTATCGTCATGTGGAGACTAGGCATTAGGAACAGCTACACAATGGAGTCTACTTTCGGAGGCTCAACATTGGGTACGTACTTCAGTTATCAAAAAAGTTGTCCAACTCTTACATGTGAAAGGTTTGCAGACTGTTCCCTGGCTGTGCGCGTTCATGTGTTTTGTATTCATTTGTAGGGGACAGGAAAGGAACACACTTCAGCACGCAGGACCTGAAATCAATGGGCCATTGCTTTTGTGACACTCTGCTTGACTTTTGTGACCCCGACCCAGCCAAGGTGGCCTGTCTTTGAGCTTTACTCCTTTTTAATATTGCTTTGAAACTGCATAATTGTTTGAAAAAAATGCATTTAATACATTTTAAACAGACTACACACTGTCTGGAGGAGTTAGGGGTGTTATTGAGACAAGAGGTCAGACGGAAGCTGGGAAGAGAAGTGGACTCTTTAGAGGATCTGTCTGACATTGACATCGAGTCCAGGTAAAAGTACAGTCAAATAAAAACTATTTGAAACATATTCCATTCAAATATTTTTCTTGTGAACATTTGATAACTCTATGTCAGAACAAACCCTATCAATTATTTCACAATGTTGATATTATGTGCAGCACAAGTGGATCAAACAGTACCGAATCAGATGGACTTCCTGTTCATCTTTTAAATGCCACAAACAAGGTGCAGTATGCCGCAAACCCTCCCAGTGACATCCTTGAGACGATTTTTCTCAATTTTCCTTTATTGCTCTGTGGTTTGTATGACAAATACAGGGAAAGAAAAAACACCTAAGAAGCCGTAAAGAAAGGAACAGACTCCGGCAAGAACGAGTACGGAGTGCAGGACCAACAATTATTCACAGGAACATCAAACATTTGGTAGGTCTTAACTAAATATGCATTTTTATAGGTTATTTCAAATTAATCATGATCTAAAATCTGCAAAATACACAAACGTTTAGGTACAAGAATCTAATTTATTTATTTAAAGGGGCGAAACCAGTGGCCGTTAAGTGAACTGTAGCCAGCAACTTATTGCTTGTGCACATATAACGTACAAGAGACTGAACACGCTTCAAGGCCCCAATATAATCACGGCAAAGTTCTTTTTCATTCTTTGCCTAGAAGTAAAAAGTTGGAAATACCTTTTCAACGATACTGTTAACGTCAAAGTAATTAAATATGTAAAGTAGTTAAATATGTGCTGCGCGCTTTCCTCTCTATTACAAAATAAACATTAAACACACAACAAAAATGACAGCGGTGAGAAAGCATATGTTCATAGCGATGTGGATATGTTTGAATCAGCTCTGCAATTCACTGTCATCATGTCGACAGATGAGGTCATTAAATACACTGGAATGGTATGAAAAAAAATCATTTAGTATATGCGGTTCTATGAATATGCAAATTAGCCCCACCTCCACTCACTCACACCAGCTCAGAGATCCACTCGTTAACGATCACATGTTGACATGATTGGTTACAATGTAGTTTGTGACGTCAGAAACACCAGCGATTTCAAACCGTGTTTTTGAGACTGTCAAAAAATAGTGGACAAAAAATAGTGAAAAATTGGCTTATGAATTTGCACTTGGTTTATCTTAAACTAAAGCATATTAAAAACACCACATAGACATATAAACAACATTAAACGATTGATTTTCAAGGTTGATTTTTTTTGTTTTGTTACAATGGGTTTTGTTGTAAGGTGTTGTAAAGCGATTAATTCATGAACATTCTTACATATAGCCCCTTTAAATAAATACATGTATGCATTGAAATAAATAATAAATGTATTTGATAGGTTTAAAAGTATCATAGCTTTAAATCTTATTTAAAATGTATTTAAAAGTAAGTATACGGTTTCAATTATAAGTGTAATCATTATAGCTGTATCCCTTTCTGAAGGATCCTGTGCCCTCAAGTGAAGATACAGTCAAAGTGAGAATCCAAGAGAAAACTATGGGCTACATGAAGGACACTAAGAAACAAAAGGTAATGAATCCACATTCTTTGTGTGTGTATGGTCTAAATTGATCAGCAAAAACACAAAAATCGGTGCACTGCTATATGATGTAAAATACCAAAGAAATAGGATTTAAACTCAATAAAATGGATAAAACGATGTATTCTCTGTGATGTGTAGGTGCCAAGTTCAGTCAGGGTGAATCAGACTGTGAGGTCTTGGATCCCTCATCCCACCACTCGCATAGGTGTTGTAGATAATGTGGCAGATCTTTGGGGGAACAGACTAGATAAGGTAACTGATCGGAATAGATATTTACATTATCAGGCATCAAATTAAATTATTTGACCATCAAATAATTTAAGATATGACAGAATACATGGAACAACAAACAAAAAGATAGCCTATTTATTCCAGGTTGCTCCTGCCACTAATTTGCGCAATGGTTTTTCATCTTTTCGGCACTCTGTCTCAGGTAGATACACTTAAATATATAAAAATGAATCATGTGCTTTCCTTTCCATCAAGAGAAGTTCATGAAGTCTGTTTATTTCATGAAAATGTCATGTTTTTCAGTTGATCCTGGGGACCAAACGAATCACCACACTACCTCATCTGCCCCCCAGGGGCAATTGCAACGGCAGACCCTCTTAGTAACTGGAGGTCATAAAAGATGTCCGTCTGTACCAGCCTTCAGAGAAAGAGCCCTGACTATACCAGTCCAACCGTACACAATGCCCTTCTACCCCGATTTCAAACCCCAACCAGAAATCAAAGGTATATCTTTTATTTATTACTTACAGGCAGCTTTTCATCAACATTTTGACCACACTGGTGACATCTTTATCATTTTGCTGTCTCACAGAAAGATCTCATATTTCAGACATTATGCAGAGGAGGTAAGTAGGCTAACTACATCACATGACAGCAAATTACACATCACAGTGGAAGTGGCGTAATAATACCAGAACTACCTAACAATTCTCTGGCATTCATTTTTTTTTTAATTTCAAGTGTGTAATATATATATTATTTACATAATTTATTTATTTAGCATAAACAGGATTATACAACATAAATAAAATATGTAAATAAATATATTATGCTAATTTTTCAAGTGTTATACACTATATACTGTATATACACTCACCTAAAGGATTATTAGGAACACCTGTTCAATTTCTCATTAATGCAATTAATCAACCAATCACATGGCAGTTGCTTCAATACATTTAGGGGTGTGGTCCTGGTCAAGACAATCTCCTGAACTCCAAACTGAATGTCAGAATGGGAAAGAAAGGTGATTTAAGCAATTTTGAGCGTGGCATGGTTGTTGGTGCCAGACGGGCCGGTCTGAGTATTTCACAATCTGCTCAGTTACCGGGATTTTCACGCACAACTATTTCTAGGGTTTACAAAGAATGGTGCGAAAAGGGAAAAACATCCAGTATGCGGCAGTCCTGTGGGCGAAAATGCCTTGTTGATGCTAGAGGTCAGAGGAGAATGGGCCGACTGATTCAAGCTGATAGAAGAGCAACTTTGACTGAAACAGATAGATAGATGAGTGGTACCCGGTGGGGTCTTCTGCTGTTGTAGCCCATCCGCCTCAAGGTTGTGCGTGTTGTGGCTTCACAAATGCTTTGCTGCATACCTCGGTTGTAACGAGTTCGTTACAACCGAGGTATGCAGCAAAGCATTTGTGAAGCCACAACACGCACAACCTTGAGGCGGATGGGCTACAACAGCAGAAGACCCCACCGGGTACCACTCATCTCCACTACAAATAGGAAAAAGAGGCTACAATTTGCAGGAGCTCACCAAAATTGGACAGTTGAAGACTGGAAAAATGTTGCCTGGTCTGATGAGTCTCGATTTCTGTTGAGACATTCAGATGGTAGAGTCAGAATTTGGCGTAAACAGAATGAGAACATGGATCCATCATGCCTTGTTACCACTGTGCAGGCTGGTGGTGGTGGTGGTGTAATGGTGTGGGGGATGTTTTCTTGGCACACTTTAGGCCCCTTAGTGCCAATTGGGCATCGTTTAAATGCCACGGCCTACCTGAGCATTGTTTCTGACCATGTCCATCCCTTTATGGCCACCATGTACCCATCCTCTGATGGCTACGTCCAGCAGGATAATGCACCATGTCTCAAATCATTTCAAATTGGTTTCTTGAACATGGCAATGAGTTTACTGTGCTAAAATGGCCCCCACAGTCACCAGATCTCAACCCAATAGAGCATCTTTGGGATGTGGTGGAACGGGAGCTTCGTGCCCTGGATGTCCATCCCACAAATCTCCATCAACTACAAGATGCTATCCTATCAATATGGGCCAACATTTCTAAAGAATGCTTTCAGCACCTTGTTGAATCAATGCCACGTAGTAGAATTAAGGCAGTTCTGAAGGCGAAAGGGGGTCAAACACAGTATTAGTATGGTGTTCCTAATAATCCTTTTGGTGAGTGTATATAATTGACTTATTTTGTAATATAATTCATTATATATAATGTAACTTTATGCATATAAATAATGGACATTATACTATAATAGTATATACATACATTTAGATAAATAATTCATACATTATGTATATTATTTTATAAATAATGTGTATATTTTTTATAAATGCTGTATACATAATTATGTAATTAATTATGTCTATATGTGTGTGTGTGTTTATGTATGTGTGTATATAAATAATCTCAAATATATATATATATATATATACATACACACACACATACATATTTATATATATATATATAACATCATATGGATACACAATTACATTATTTATATTATTTTATGAATATATATATTATGTATGAATTATTAATGTAGATTTAAATGCACAAACTGTCTTGAAAGATTAAGATAATAATAAATAAATATAAAAAATAAATTACTTTTCCCACAGTCAACAGAAACTCAGGCAGGAAAGACAGATGCAAAAGACCCAAATCCCTATCAAACACTTAATGCCACTAGACAACATAGGAACACTGAGGATCAGTCATAAGACAGATGGACAAGGTAAATATTAAGTATTTCTTTAAAAATGACCATGTCTGATATACTTGGACAAACGTAATGTATGTAAAATTTAGACTGAAATATTAATTTAAATAAAGCCTTCAATTGTTTTTGTCAGTGTATTATGATACTTGTAACCCGATTCATTTTCCCATGTTACCATATGCTGTGGCTGGCCTTGCATCACCAGATAGAGAGCAGTCCAAGAGGGCCGCTGACCAAATCAGGAAACAAGATGGCTCATGTTTCCTCCCTGACCTGCACAGGTTTAACTCATTATTTTTCTGGAGGTTTGCTTGACACCTCACACAGACTGCAGAATGTCACCAGCCGTTCTTACCGCTGTCATTATGTGTTCCTCTATAGCCATGCTCAACTGTTTGGAAACCAGGCTGCATTCAGAAGTCTGAGGTTAGGGAGGCTACCTAAAGGAAGCAAAACTCAGTTTTTCGGAAGAATTGCTGCTTCTACAGAAAGCCTGAGTGAGCAGTGAGGAGAGGTATGTCGCAAAAAGAACATTTGCACATTTTGCTCAGTCGTAGCAAGTTAACTCATCAGCTGATTTCCTTGACAAGGTTTTATCTGCAGTTGCCTCAAGAGTCCATGCAAGTGGAGGACGAGTCCACAGCTGTTCTTCCTCAAACATCTCACACGCAGAAGTCTCAGGAAAAGCAGGTCAAGCCAGGCAAAAGCACATGAAGATGATGACGAGAGCAAGAGGTCCTTTCTTTTGAAGCCAAGTGCCTGAATACAGAAATGTGACTTTTCTTTGCAATTAAATGTCATTCACCATTTCAGTTCAGTGCAGTCCATAATTTTCTGTACATTTAATAAAAGGGAAAGACTACTGGAAAACAAAGACTTTTTTCACTTGTTTTTACTTTTTTAGCCATTTTCTAAATAAATTTGTATTGTATAATCAAGTTATTCTGATATGAACTTCCCTTCTATTGAAGAGATGTCCTTTCTTATTTGAATATTCCATGTGTGATAAGCATGATTTGTTCTTTTTCTTTTTTTTAAAGTGATGTCTAATTAAATAATGTGTGGAAGTGATTTCTAATGAAGCTGATTTTTAAATTAAATTTATAATTTTGTTAAATTCAGCATCAATAAATAATATGATTTAGTGATTTATAGCACTGGGGTGTGTTCTGTCTTTGTCTTAAGTTAAACTTTTTATTTTTTATTTGCCCACATACAAAATATAATACAAGGCAAGATTTGTTTGTATAAAATAAGGCACCAAGACATCCGCATGCAGTAACAATCCAGCTCAATGACTGACGTGTGTCCTCTAGTGGTTGCCACTGCCATCTTTGTAGTCTTTTTTTGTGATACCACATTGAATATTTAATCAAGTTCATCAGTGCAGGTCTCGTCACGTTCTTAATTCCTGAATCCCATCAAACTGTCTCAAATGGAAGCGACTTTCGGTGTGTCGGACCATTGCACGCAAGGCAACAAATCCAAATAGAGCCTGTAAAGAAATAAAACATTTTTCAATTGTTAAGTATTTTTTAAAAACCAATTCCTCTGGAACATATTTAAAGGATTATAATATCATGTAAATACACAAATATATATATACGAATTTATACCTCTGCAAAAATAAATAAGGCCAGTATTATATGAACTCCTCTCTCCAGAGGTTGAATGAGAACAGCCTCATTGAAAAGCTGGAACAGAATCAGAGGAAACTGGAGTAGAAGAGTCAGGAGCCAAAATCCAGCCAATTCTGGAACCTATTAAAAAATAAAGGAAGTTGGATTATTATGAAATCATGTAGATTATATTATATTATACTTATATTGACCTTTTCTTGCAGATTTCCAACGTTGCCCAGGTAGAGTCTGATGGCCTCAATCAGGGTCATTAAAATAAGAATTGTGATCAGGATGAACTTGTAATAATCTGCAAGGGCTGGGTACTAGACGAAAAGCGTATTTATTATATTCATATATATTTATTATGTTAATATACATTAATATGATTAAACCGCAGTCAACAATGCCAGACTGAATTGTTAAAATATAGGTAGGAGAATCACCTTTAGTTGTAGCATCACAACCTCACTGATCCACCAGAAGGGAAAGAACCACATGTTAAAGTAAAGCGACATCTGAAGAGGCAGACTCGATACTACATCCTTATCTGCTGAATAAAAGTGCAAAAAATGAAAATTACAGCACACTAAAACTAGCGAGCTGCCCACCTAGACTGTATTTCTGTGAATTATAAGCGCATTAAAGGGATAGTTCACCCAAAATTCTGTCATTAAATACTCATGTTGTTCCAAACCCGTAAGAATCTTACCGTTAATCTCCGGAACACAAATGAAGATCTTTTTGAGGAAAGAAGAAGCTTTTTTCTGGCCCTCCATTGACAACTATGCAACTACCACTTTGACGCTTCAAAGCGTTCATTAAGAGATCATAAAACTAATCCATTTAAATTAAGTCATAATTTGGTCAATTTTTTTGGAAGAGACTCGATCGCTTTATAATGAACAGATTTAATTTAGTCTTTTATTCACATATATTGTTTAGCTAACATAAACAAGCTTAACTGCATCTGCTTGACGAGTGAGAACAAACCTCTTGCGGAAGCTCAAAAGTGCTGCATAACACGAGAGTGAACCTTATTGGTTCTCGCACATTAAGCAATCAATCATGCTTGAGCTTCCGTTTAACCACAACTCAGAGCCATATAGAGAGAAATTAGTTGACCGGTCAGAACCGGAAGTCCGGAACCCATGACGGAGTGTTCGATTCCTTTTCGCAAATCAGTTTTTTTTTTCTAGAATTTTTTTTTTTTTTTTTGCATGTTTTAATTAAACGATATTATTAAATCAATTTATGCATGCTTTTATGCATCTTCAGTTCAAACCGACATAAATGGAATCATAAAAATATTTTAATTGCGTTTTAATTTTAAAATTAAGATAGAAAATTAAATGAAGTTCCTAAACGTAAGTTAGGGAGGAGCGAGCCCATCCAATCTTTCAATCAACAAACAGAGTATATAAGCAGCCGCTTACCTCTCCCTAGTATCAGCTGTTCCAGTATCCCTCCACCTCCCCAAACTCCACCTTCATCTTAGGTACCTTGCCCTTTAATTAACAGGTCCTACATTTACCCACTGGGGGGTGTATCAGAGCTCGAGTTGAAGCTGCTTCATCGAGCCCCTCTCCAGCGGACAGCAAGCCGAATAAGTTTAACCTAATATCTTAAAGATTTTATGGGCAAACGAACTCGTTAACTTCTTTTTTAGGTTCTCGGTTTGATAAATACATAGTGAATTTTTGACTCGAGAACCGCTCGATTCGGACGATTCCTGAACAAATCGTTCAAGATCGGTTTTGTGAACGACAGGTTCAATAGATTCATTAAAAAAAGATCCGACTAAAGAACGGTTCGTAACGCTGACTGTTTAGTGTTTAGGTAACGTTAGGCAACGTTAGCTCGGTAGGTTCGAGACACTTCCACGGTTAAGTTACCAACAGCGTTTAACAGTGCCATAAAGCATTATTATATCAGCAAATCAGGTAAGCAAAATGTCTCCTAACACAGTAACAGGAGCTTGACATAAGCTTGGCTAACCAGATGAATTAGCCCAGCAGCTAGCAGCTCAACACAAAAGTCACCGTTTCAACAACTCAAACACACTTACACTGGTTAAGGAAATTAGCGTGTTCTTCGGGAGAGGGTTGTGTTCGGCTTTGGTCCACAAACACGGTTCTGGAGAAATCTCCCAGCCGTCGCCGTATGGGTTCAGGCAGGTCCATGTTGAGAAGCAGAGACGCGAGTCCGTAGCAACTAACGTTAAGGCGGATCTCGTGCGGTTGCGACGGTCCAGCTGTGAAGGGGTGTGCTTTCTGTTTTCACTCTCACACACAACACTGCTCAGATGCGCTTAACCCAGAGTGTATGATGAAGAAGGAAATTAAATAAGTGGGTAATACAGAAGGGTTTGAGTATAAATAAGTTATATTATCTATTTATGCAAGTTAAAATTAGTAAACTATGGAAGCCCACATAAGAAAAAAAACATGCCTTGGTAAATCGTAATTAGGACATAAAAGGTCGATATTATGACATATTAAGACATATTAAGTAATATCTATTTACAAGTTAAAATAAGGAAAATATGGAAGGCCATTTCCGCCACATAAAAAAAAAAAGCCTACATAGATGAAAAGTTGAAATAATGACTTTAAAAATCAATTTTGACATCAAAGTAAAAAAAATGATGACATATTTTGTCAAATCACGCCTCATTAAAATTTCAAGCTTTGTTCACAAAACTATCATCCCAGCAAACAACTAGCCTACGTTGTTAACAAAAATTGTTCACATCTTCAAATGGTGATAACGTTTTTTCCCCAATATAAATATGAAAGATGTCAGGTTTTTTCACATTATGGATATGTTTTCAGAACATTGCAGAAACGTATTTAGGATGTTTTTATCACGTCAACATGTCTCCTTATGTTGTAGAAACGTACTTATCACATACTTCACATGCCAAAATTACCATGTTTTTGTTTTGGTTCCGCCATTGTTTTTGGAGTCGTTAACATAGTAATTCATATATACCATAAAATAACTTTATTTTTTGAATACATTTAAATTGCATTATTTACAGCTATTTCTAGTTCCAAGCGATGAAAATCATTCAAAATCAGTCTCTTGTGTAACGCCAGCATTACAGGGTTTGTATGTACGATGAATTCACAAGACGGTTTCCATGGAGGTCAAAGTGTCCGAGCGATCCACAGTGTCATAAAAGCGTAGACAGGCCTTGTACTGCAGGAGTTTCTCAGTCAGGTGACTGTGTCCCACCCCGCTACTCAGCTCCACGCTCAGATCTGTGTACCTGCCCAAAAACATTATAAAGACTCAGCTGTCAGTCCTGTAAACACTCAAATGTTTCATTATTGTCATATTCAAAGCTTGAACCGTACCTTTGTGATATTCTCCAAAACACCAGTGTGTTTATAGTCATTAATATGGCCAGCGTAAAGAAAAACCTCTCCATGTTGCCACTGCCAAGGTTATTGGGATAGAAGTTTCCTGTAATTATAAAACACAATCTTTTCGTATTAAATACGAGTTCATGCTGTAAGATGTTACATCTACTTTGCACCACAATAGCAAGTTCAACATTTTCAAGAGAGATGTATGTTTACCTCCAGACACAAAATAAAGGAAGTGAATGAGGAAAGCTCCTAGAAAGCAGCCACCTCCGTATGAGAGGGTTAGGAAATGCAAGGAGACGCCTCTAAGGTTGCTGGGAGTCAGACAGAAGGAGATGAGAGAGCCTGAGCAGAGCAACAGGAGAGATGGGTGAGTTTGGTGAATTCCTGACTAATTATTGGAAGTGAATCTGTGTTAGAATATATTGTACAGTGAAAAAAAAATTGGTGTAGGATTTACTTTGAAACCATTTTCACTCCGAAATTGCAGGTATATTTAACAAATAATTGCAAAGAAATGGAAAATTACATAAATGGCAAATCACACATTGAATCTTTGTAAAACATACTCAAATAATCTTTTTTATTTTATTTACAACTTTGAACAGTTTTTTTTAAAGTGATGCTGTTTTTTTAAACAAAAATAACTTAATTGATTTGACACCCTGTTTAATAAGCGCTTTAAATACATAGTTCACCCAAAAATGAAAATTCTGTCATCATCAACCTCATGTCGTTCCAAACCCGTAAGACTTTGTTTAGTCTTCAGACCACAAATTAAGAGGTTAAATTAAAGTCCCCCTGTGGTGAAAATCAAGCTTTTAATGTTTTTTATATGTCTATGTGGTGTTTTTAATATGCTTTATGACAAACTATGTGCAAATTCATAAGTCAACATCATTGCTGAGTTTTTTCTCCTTAAAACCG